TGTATAATCTTTGTGGATATATTGAAAATGCAGGAAACTATTATTCTTACCACTCAAGGTCATATATGTGTGTGTGTGTATATATACATATATATATATATGTATATATACACACACACACACACACATTCCTTCCAGTCTTTATTTGTAAATATAATGTATCATTAATATTTTCCATGTTTTTCTCCCACAAACCATTTTTAATTACTGTATTATCACTTACTGGTTGGTGACCTTTTTCTGTAAGGGCTGAAAAGTATGATTAAAGTAATATGGTCTCTGTTACAATTACTCAAGTCTGCTGTTGTCGTGTGACAGCAGCCCTATATATTATATAAAGGAACAAATGGGCATGACTGTTTACCAATAAAAATTTATGTACAAAAACATGCAGCACCAGGTTTGGACCACTGGCCACAATTTGCCAACCCCTAGATATTTTTTAAAAACTTTTTTTGACATAATTATAGTTTACAGTGTTGCAAAACAGTACAGAGAGATCCCATGCACCCTTCACCTAGTTTCCCCAAAATTAACATCTTAACTACAGTACAACATCAAAACCAAGAAATATACATTGGTGCAATTGTGTTGATAGTTCTATATCACTTTACACATGTGTGACTTCCACCACAGTAAAGATACAGACCTATTTCAGTCACCTAAAGATCTTCCTCATTTTGCTCCTGCATAGTCACAACCACTTCCCTCCCTGGCCATCCCTACTTCTTGGCAATCGCTCATCTATTTTCCATCTCTATAGTTTTGTCATTTTTGAGAATGTTGTACAAGTGGAATCATACAATATGTGACCTTTTGAGACTGACTTCTGTCGCTCAGCATTGAGATCCATCCAGGTTGTTGCATGTATCAAAAGTATTCCTTTCTACTGAGGAGTAAGTAGTATTCCAGGGCATGGATATAATAGTTTGTTTGATCATTCACCTATTGAAGAGCATTTTGCTTATTTCAAAGAATTCCTTTAAGGTTCTAGTGACCGTGTATTCCATGTTACTCAGCATTCTGTAACAAACACTGTAGACCATTGATCCCCATGTTTGGTTCAACTGACTTAGGTAGGTATTCCCTTCTTTCCTTATAGTCAAGCATCCAAGTTGAATGTGGTTCAGAATGTGGTGGTCCATGCATTTCAGGTGTTCAATTGAATCATATTGTATCTATCATTATTTTAAATCATTATTTTAATGCGTTTGCATTAAAACTCACTGACGTAAACCACAGGCCACTGTTTCTCCAGGGACTTCCGTTTGCTTTGCAGGCTAGTGCTGACATTATATGTATGGTGATAGGTGAATAAATAATCCTGAGACTTGTAGACTTCAGTTCAAGTCTCAGTGTTACCACTCATGACCTGTGGTCTTCAAGAAGCCACCTAACCTTGAACCTTTGTTTTCTTATCTGTAAAATAAAGAAGCAAATAGTACCCAGCCCTGTCTCACAGGATTGCTGTGAGGAGCAAATGAGATGACACGGGAAAAGCCTTTGGGGGAATAGGAAAACACCGTACAAATGTTACATAAATATAAATTCATAAAAATAAATAAGCCTTCAGTAGTGTTTTAGGAAAAGCAGTGTTATAGGATGAGTAGTTCTTCTTAACAAGTAAGTGTGTGGAGGGGTGTGAGATCCTTGCCGAGGGAAAGAAAGAAAAAAATTAAGACCCTGTTTTACAGAGTTAGAAAAAGGCCAAAAGAACAGGGAGGAAGAGTGGTAATTCTGTATGCTGTAACAGATGACCTGTGTTGCAAATACAATACCATCTGGCAGATGTGAGAAGAAATCATTTAAATCAACAATGTGTGTAATGAGCTACCATCTGATTCCTGTTAATCAGGCCTTCCTTTTTCGAACGGTCTTGCCCGGGTTTCCATGACCCCGCTCTCGCCTGCTGCTCCTTCTGGCTTATCACCATCATCGTCTTGGCCCTTAACGACGGAGCTCCCTGGGGATCATCCCTGTACTTCTCTTTCCATGACCTCTTCCCTGGCAATATCATGCCTTTACATCACTCTCCAAACAAAGCCTACATCTGCGTCTCGAGCCCTGACCTCCCTCGTTCCCATCCTGCTGGCTGGATCTCTCTATTTCAAACTCAGCATTTCCAAAGCTGAGGTCATTTTTCTTAGTAAAATGGCCCTTTTCAAATTCTTTATTTCTGTTCCTACCATCCTCTCAGCCCTTCTCCCGTGGCCACCACCCAGCGCCCTCCAAATCTAGTCATGTTGTCGGGTCTCTGACCGCAGTGCCTTCCATTTCTTCTTTCCTTTCCAGGTCAGGCCCAGCCCTTTAGCTTTTTAACTGAAATCCTCTTTGCCCTCCCCACCGCCTCACCTGCCTCCCGCCTCACCTTTGGCACCTGTGTCTTCTGCAGCTCTGCTCCGCTTCCTACTGGGCGGTGTTGATTGCTCCTTGTGTTTGTAGAAAAAAGCTCGGATTGTTATTCTCACATAAAATCCTCTCCACGATCAAACTGTTTTTGAATCTTTATATACTCAACCAGATAAACAGAAAGGAATTAATACGAAGTGAAACTTTTGTTTGAGAATTCCATAATGTTTTCCTTGAGATACTTTTCTAACTGCATTTTAAGTAATTTATGTGCATTCTTGCTCTCCTTTTCTATGTGGGACCCACGTATGGCTTCTCTCTATTCCCACAGAGTTGCACATAGCAGATATTTATTGAATGAATAATTGGTCCTGTGGTAGAAACTCCATTCTTGCTTGGCCCAGACATTCAACAAGTATTTATTGAGCCCCTTACTATGGGGTCAGGTTCTTTGAAGCATTGGGATATAGTAGGCACAGTTTCAGTCTTTTTTAAAATTTTTATTTGAGTTTTTTCTTCATTTGACTTTTAAAACACTGCTATTGTGGACTATTAACACCAAAACAATAGCAAGTAGTGAACATATGAGTATAATCTTTCATTCATTCACTACTGCGTATAAAACGGCAGCAGTGAGTGTCATTCGCTGACCCCACGAAGAGGTCCGACCCCGAACACTCCCCCTAGGATGATGGGCCATCCTCGGATGCTTCTCCCGTGTAATGGCACCTCTTTCCTGATCGGGATCCAAGCCTACCCGTTCTACTTGGTCCATTGCATCAGTCTCTCCTGCTTTCTGTCATGTAGGAGTTTATTCCAGCAAAGAGAGTTTATTGAGAGAGAGAAAGCCATTCTCAGGAAAGTTACCTTAAATTCAACGATTAAGTGACCTTTTTCATACAGTCTCTGATAAATTGGTGTGTCTCTGTTTAGCACACAGATAGCCCTCCCATTCTAGTGGGAATCCTCAAAGTGTTACCATCGGATTATTTGTGACTTTATGCTAAGGTATCAGTATTTACATGTAAACCAAAGTTATCAGGCACTTTGTTTAAGAATATATTAAACATTAAATATTATACTCCAGCTTCCTGAAGGATATGGAATTTACTTGGTTAGTGAAGTGAGAAGTTTATTAGGAGAAGAAAACACAGGTAAGTTGACTGAGGATCTTTCTACGAGAAGGAAGCAGCTGGTGGGGAGGCAAAGGAAAGTGAGGATATTAAGCTATTGAGGTCTCCTCCAGTTAGCTATTTCTTCTCAGGCAGGCAATTCCATGAAACTAACATAATGTGCTCTTGGATCTTATACAGATGGCAATCAGGAATTATTTCCCTGTGAAGTCTGTGGAAGACGCTTTGCAGCAGATGTTCTGGTAAACATAAAGACGTTTTGTAGATGTGTTTCATTGGAGTTAAATGATCTGTCAAGTTAGTGAGGAGGCCGCAGTGGCAAAGATTAAAGACAGATGTGGCGGGAGAGCAAGGGAAGAGACGCACATACCCTGTGGTTGGCAGGCCCGGAGGGCACTGAGGCAGATCTACGCTGCCCCATTCAAAAGGGAACGTAAGAAACGCGGCCCTCTTGCTGAAAGGACGCCAGATAAAAGTGTCTTGGCACAGCTGATGGTCTCTTGAGAGGTTTTGGCTCTTTTGCCTTTTCTATAAGCATCAGAAATTCAAATTTTAAGGCCAAAGCACCAGGGAAATTAGCTAGTCAAGAGGAATGAACATTGAATTTGGAGCATCTGGAAACTTGGCTTTTAGCCTCAAATTTGTCACTAATCCTGACAAGTCCTTTAACCTCCCTCTGTTTCCTGCTTTGCCACGTATAAAGACAGAACCCTCCAGTTTCGGGGGTTTTATGTAATTTGAACAAAATGGATATAAGGCCTTTTCCAAGGTTTAATTGTTAAACCATTTTCAAGCTAACTGCATATCAAGTTTCCTGACTGATGTCTATAAAGTGGAATAAAAGCCTGATTTATTTCAAAATTAGGGAGTCCAACAGGTATTAGGCCCCAATGTTATAAAGGGATTCCCAAGAAAAATTATTTAAAAAAATTAAGATGATAATGCAGCTGTTAGTTGGGACATTTTAGATCAAGGAGACTTATATCAAACTTCAAAGATTTGGATGACAAGCCTGACTACATTTGGGGCAAAAGACTACAAAATGAGGGTGTAGGTTTTATTTCTCTGGGGAACTTAAAAAATGAAATACCTGTTCTTTTATTTAACTGCCTGACTCTAGAAGGGGAGCTTACAGGGCCTCTTGTGGCTTGGCAGCCCACCGTCTGCTGCCTTGGCCAGACTGGGGCTGCGTCCATGGGAAGGGGTTGGAGACCTAGGAGGTTCCATTGGAAGAGGGCTCACTAAATGTCAAGTAGGCCTTGGGTCCTCTTGAGTTTTACTTCCTAGGCCTATTCTCTAGGCTACAGAGAGCATTTGATCAACTAATCTCTCTCTCTGTCTCTCTCCCTCTCTCTCTCTCTC